CACAATTCACAGACACAGAGTAATAAAATTTACAACAAAACGAAACATAAATTTCCACTGGGTTGAGCTTTTACTTTTTCACTTTAATCCACAATTAACATACACATTTAAACTAAGACTTTTCTTTAAAACAAGCAATTAAAAAAAAATCAAATCTAATTACCTTCAGTAATCAGTTGCCGATTCCAAGCAACAGCATTAACGATCAAACCTTTCAACCTCCCAAGCACACGAGGCTTACTCCATTTAGCATGCATATAAAACGTCTCCGCACCACCTCCACCAATAACGGTGGCGATACAGTGGCTACCACCAGGATCCACAAACACTCTATGTATAGATTGATCGCCAGGCCGTCCACTAGAAAGATCAAAATCTAGCATTTCAAGGAAGAAAATTAGAGATTTGCTTCTTTGACAGAGACAAGCGGAAGAATTTGAATGTGAATTGAGTACCGGAAGAACCGCCGGCGCCGAAATCGTGTCGAATAAGCCAACCTTTGCTGGTACCTAATAAGATGACATCGTTTCCTGCTGCCATACAGGTGATAACACCACGGCCTTTTGATGCGTACCGTTCTAGGAGATCGACGGTGAATACTTGCCGTGATTGATCCATTTCCTGCAAAGAGTTTTGAGATGAAATTATTGAATTTATAAGAAATGGTTTTGATTTAGTTTTTTTCTGAGAAAAATTGAGTTGCCCGACTTTTTAAAAGGAGACTGATCGACCGGGAACGTTGCCTGAGGTCGTAACCGTTGATTAATGAAGTTATCGGTTTACAGAGGGGTTTTAACGGATTTAACTTATCGAGTTCAATGAATTCACACGACGTCGTTCCTCGCCGCTTTGGTCTTTCTCGCCTTTTTATTTTACACTCTTTGTTTCAAGTATATCGTGGCGCGATATTATAAATTGATTCAATGAATTAAAAAAATTTGAAGAAAAAAATTGAAAATATTGTAAAGCTTAAATTTAATAATTAAATTATGAAAAATAAATTTTAAAAATATATCGTTAAATAAAAAAACTTGAATCAATTTATATTATTTAACTAATCAACTCCTCGCAGTGTAGATTAAAATAAAAAATATATAATTTTAAAAGAAAGGCTTAGTAAAATAAAAACATCTAAGTTCAATAAAAAATCAAGCTAATTCAAGTTAAATTTATTTACCTAATATCAAGATAACCTAATAAAAATAAAAATAAAAGCTATAAATAACAAAAATTAAGAGTTACTAATTTAATATCAAATGATAAAATTAAAAAATAAAATATCATAAAAAAATTAAAAAAAAATACATGAATCAACCTGAGTTAAATCAATTAATTCGTCACCTAAGATACAAAATCAAGATAAAAAAAACTTAGAATTTCAAAAGAAGAGTCTAGCAAATAACACCAAATTTAAATAAAAAAATTATTGAAAAATAAAACTATAGTTAACTTAACTAACAAACACTTGAGATAACCCAAAAAAAAAAAGAAAAAAGAAAAAATTAACAAAACTCAATGCTTAATATTTTAATGCGAAGGGATGAAATTGAAGAAAAAAAATTTAATCTCATAAAAAAATTTGAATCAATTTGAATTAACTTGACTAACTTATTACTCAAGATATAAGATTGAGATAACTCAAAAAAAAAAATGGAACAAATAATGATGTCAATGATTTAATAAAAAAATATAAAATGATGAATTTAAAAAAAAAAATAATCATTATCTCATAAACAACCCAAAAAAAGGGCTAAATATAATCGATTCTGAGTTATTAAACAAAAATTACCCTATAAGAGAGCGATCATGAAAAAATAATAAAAATAAAATTTTTAATAGTAAATTATCAAAACTCAAATAATATAGACCAAATATGATATAAAAATGAAAAAAAATAATTAAGGGTTAAATTAAATTAAAAAAATACAATGGAAAAAATAAAGATATAAATTGGATTAAAAAATGAAATAAGATGCTAAGGGACAAAGAGAGAGAGAGAGAAAGAGAAGAATAGAAGAATTGTAATAAAAAAATAATGATCAAATTTTAATTAAAAAAACTAATAAAATGATAAGGAACAAAATCTTAAAAAAATCAATAAAAATATATAAAACACTTAAAAAAAATTTTAATTAAAAGTAGAATGATTAAATTAGATATAAAAATCAAATAAAATTAAATACAGAAAAAACTAACTTCAAAAAACATCAAAATCAAAAGAAATAGTAATTATAAAAATAAATAAGAAAATCGATAAAATTATAAACTGGTGAACATAATTATTTTTAAAAAAATTGACAAGAATCTCAAGGACATGAGAAAAAAAAAGAAAACAAACTTTACCGCCATTTAATAGAATCTTCACCATGAGTATGCCCTACATTATTAGAAAAATAATAATTAATCTTTATTAATTTCGTCGTGAATGAAGGTTTTTGGTCATCGTATGTCCCATGGACGCGCCACCTAAAAGGTGTTGGGATTGTCGTGTTCAACAATTGTTTTTAATAATATTTGATTACTTAAAATTTCATAAGAAGTCCTAACTAAATCGATCAGGAAGAAAAGATCAACGCATTCTCAAAATTAATTTTAGATTTTTTTAATTTAAGGGTAAATATATAATTAAATTGTTTTAAAAAATAAAAAAAAAATAAAAAAAACCTTTTTATACACGTTTACTTTTTTTTTCCCTTCTATGTATATAATCGTGATTTTATTGTGTAATTTTTTTAAAAAAAATAAAAGAACCCATGACGGAAAGTTTAATATTTTTTGGCTTTTAAGGATAGAATAGTCATTTTATAAAAAGGGATCACGAGTAATGTATCTCTAATAAATTTTGCAATAACTAATGAATCCTATAAAAAAAAAAAAAACTATTCTTCCTAAGAGGTATAAGCGTCATTTTATTTTTCCAAAGGATAGTATTTAGTTTTTTTAAGTTTTTTAAGTTTCTTAAGTTTCTTGTCCATGGCTTTTAGTTTATATATATATATATATATATATATATATATATAAGAGTCTTCCCATTATTGAAGAAAAATCATAAAAAAATTATCATAAATTATTTGATAATATTATAATTAGAGAAAGTATTTCCAATTTAATTGATGCTAGAACTCGAGTTCCCGAGATTAAATTAAAAAAATTTGGGTCAATAGATATGCAATTGTTTTTAACACTATTATAATTATATGTTAATCTTGTTACACTAATGCATCATTTTTTATGATATTTTCAAATTTTTACCTCCATTTTGTTAACAAAACGATTCATGATATTACTAATGATTAGTGATTATGATTTTTTTTTAAAAAAATTTCTTACTCCTAAACGAAGGTGAGAGTTAATATTTATGTTTTGAGTTTTGGTATTTCCAGTACCATTTGAATTCAAATTATTTATATTTATTAATTTTAGATATTTAAATTCAACCAATTAAGTTTAAATAAATATCTATTAGGTAGGAGTGAAACTATAATTTTTACTTTGTGAGATTTGATATCGTGGTGGTGCAAAATATTTTTATTTGAAAATGAATTAAAATATTTATTTTTATTATTTTATATTAACACTTTAAAGCTATTGAAAAAACTAAAAAATATTAATTTAATACTTTTTAAATAAAAAACATATTTTTAAAACGTAGACTACATCTCTCCTGAACATTCACTGCTCTCTTTGCTGATGGGTTATGACCCAATATGACTGCAGAAAGCATGGGCCGACCGCTACACGTATACGCTCCTTATGGACCCCATTAAACAAGGAAACAAACCGCCGCACCAAATCCCATCCCTACAGAATTTTCCATTTTTTGACCAATTAATCCTTTAAATCAAATCGGAGCGTCTAATACTACAAGCCGTTTATAATCCAACGGTCAATATCCCACCATTAGGCTCCAACGAATACTTTTTCTCCAACGGTCAAAAAAATCCTTAAAACAACGCAAAACCCTCAAAAATCCCCACATCGAAAACCCACACACAAAAAAAATAAATTCTCTCTTTTCTTACAGACAGATTCCTTAAACAAGGATCCAATCTTGATCCGTTAAAAACATAGAAAATCCATCATTTTGATCTTTCAAGAAGAAAGATGAGTAGTATTCTTCAATACCCGGATGTGGTTGACGCTCCTGAAGTTCAGATATGGAACAATGCAGCGTTTGATAATGGAGAATCAGAGGACTCTTTGAATCTTAAGTCTTCTTGGTGGAATCAAAGTCTTGAATCCGATGCAAGCAAAGAGAATCTTAGCCCAGTTTGTGAAAAATCTTCTCCTGTTTTTGTCAATTCTTCAAAACCCACCAAGCCACTTCAATCTAATGCCAATCCTTTTAACTCACAAGGGAGTGATTCAATGAAGGTTGGGCTGTCGAAGACGGTGGAGAAAAATGAGGAGATCAAGAATCATGATGAGAAAAAGATTGATATAGAGATTGAAGAGATCGAGAAGGAGATTAAGCGTTTATCTTCAAGACTTGAAGTACTTAGGCTTGAAAAGGCTGAGAGGAATTTATCAAAGACTGTTGAAAAGAGAGGGAGGGTTGTGGCTGCAAAATTTATGGAGCAGAAACAGAGTGTCAAGATTGAAGAGCCATTGGTTTCAAGTACTAAATCGAAGATTAATAGAAGAGGGGTCAGTTTAGGGCCAAGTGAGATTTTTGCTGGATCCAAATCAAGGTTATTGTTTGGAAAACAAGAGATGAAAACTCCTGTTTCGACGCAGAATCGGCGGAAATCGTGTTTTTGGAAGCTTGAAGAGATTGATGAGTTGAAGGCAACTAAAGAGAGGGGAAAAAGTTTGAGTGTTAGTCCGAGATCACGAAATAATGTGTCTAAAGTTCAAGTTCCTAAACAGGCTGTTACTACCGTGGGATCTAGAAGGTCAGTGAAGAAAGAAGACGGGGTTATTGCTTCAATTCAGCCAAAGAATCTATTCAAAGATGGAGAAAAATCTGTTACTAATAAGAAACCCTTGAAGCCCGGACGGGTGGTGGCTAGTAGGTATAATCAGATTGGAACAAATCAGTCTAATGGGAATCTAACTGCTAGCGAGGCTCGGAAGAGGTCTTTGCCGGATAATGAGAAGGAAGATGTTAATAAGAGGCGGGCTTCGCGTGGTAATGGGGTGAGTCAGAGAACGGAGAGTGGTAGAGTGAAGAAGAAGTGGGAGATTCCAACTGAAGTAGTGGTATACAAGGATGATGCTGAGGTGTTATCTCCGCAGGCAGTTTCTGTAGTGACCGATATGTTGCCGAATATTAAGACTGTCAGAAGTGTTGCTGAGACTCCAAGGGACTCAGGGGCGGCAAAAAGAGTGGCTGATTTGGTTGGGAGGAAATCATACTTTTGCCCCGTCGAGGAGACTGCAGCAGGGGACTCTGTTTGCCAGGCTCTTAGTTTTGCAGAAGAGGAGGATGGTGAGAACGAGTAAATTAGGACTTAAGGGAAGTTTTACTTCTTCTTTTTTTGGTCCACATTTGAATTGGTTAAGGTATTTTTCAGCTTTGTTGTTGATAAGCCATAACTCTTGTTATGGAGTAGCAAGGTTGTTTTTGGTTTGGTCTAAATGGGTTGGGACTTTGTAAGTTTGTAGTGTAGTTTCATTGGCTTTCTGAATATATGCAATAATACGATAAGCTTTGTCTATTGCTTTCTGTAATGATTCCATCTTCATCCATGAAAATGTGATATCATATCTTTCATTCCTTCTCAATGGCTTAGTTGTTTGATCTATCCTCTTATATATATTAGGATATTGGGTAGTTTGTAGAAAGACCAGCTCCATTATTGCTTACCAGAGAATAATATCAACCATTTTTTTGACCTCACATGACAAGTTAAGTATCTTTTGATTTCACGTTGAAATAATTATTTGATATAAATAATTTTAAAAAATAATATAAATTATATCTAGTAATATCATTTAATATCTTAAATTGTTCCTTGTAGATCTTTAAATTTTGGGATATACAACAACTATTGATTGCATTTCATGTTACCTTTCCAGGGTCAAGAAAGAAGGTAGCTTTTTATGAGCTGGAAAGTTATAGTGCATGTAGCCTTTCTGGAGAGAAAGAAAGGAATAGTTGAAATTCCTCTCCTGGAGATACTAAATGAAACTATTGAGTGCAAGCAATTCCTCTAGATTCAGCATTTTTTAAAGCCAATGTTGCAGAGTTGAAAAATCCAATTCCTTTTATTGCTGAACATTAGAAATTGCTCGAAAGAACCTCGGAACGATTTAGTTTTAGGTTTTTTGGATTGTCTGCAATGGCAGCATTGTTCTGCAAGAGAAGTCTAACAAATCTGGTAATTTTGATTATAAGTGAGATTAGTGTAAGTATTAGAAAAATATAACTTGTTGATATCTAGTGGATAAGTTACAATTAGACAACCAAGGTAAAGCCTGCAAAGAAATTCAGATATGTCGTGTATAAAATTTTACAAAAACAATTATAATTTTTTATTTAATTGTTGAATCGAATTGAATTTCATTAAATTATTTTACAGGCTCTATTTTATTAAGATATCTACTAGCTATAACCAACAAGGTCGGGAATCTATTCAAATTAAGTCATAAGATAAGATGTTGTTTTTGTTTTATAAAAATATTTTTCTATTTAATTTTGAATTCTAATTATTTTTTCAACTTAACTTTATATTCTTCTTGTTATTCTATTTATAACTTTATATAAATAATTAATGTGTTATATTCTCTATCACATAAAAGTACCTTGGTTTCTATCCAACCTATGCATTGCCTCAAGCTCAATTTATTAACAAAAATCGTTCACAAGCATGAATGATCAATTACTCGCTTAGGTTAGGTGTATAGTTCCTACCATGCAAAATTCTGAGATAATGCAGCATGGACAGGAGGCTGGCTTGCCACACAATACACTGGGTTTGCCCTGGATCAGCATATGAGATTCTATGTAAATATATTAAAATAATATATCAAAATAATTTGAATGTTTTTTAGTATATTATTGCTGTTGTTTTATAAAGTTTTTTTCACTCTTAAATGTATAAAAATAATATTTTTTTATTTTTAAAAAATTATTTTTAATATTAACGATTTGAAAACATCAAAAAAATATTAGTTTGAAGTAAAGAAAAAAATTTAAAAAATTTAATTTTTTTAAAAGCATTTTTAAAATATGAAAACAAATAAAGAGAATAATTTAGAAACAGGAATCCAAACGAGGTTTGATCTAAATTTAATTTTTTTATGCAAAAATATTTTTTTATATATTTTTAGATTTTTTTATATGTTAATATTAAAAGTAATTTTTTTAAAAAATATTTTTTAAATATATTTTTAAATAAAAAACACTTTAAAAAATAACTTTTTCAATATTCCTTAATTTCTATTTCTAGTGGCTTCAGGAAAACCCAATTAGACAGCTGGTAAACATTCATGACCATGCATTAAACCAATTAATCATGTGTTTTAAATTAGGAGAGAGAAAAACTGCTATGTTAACAAGGAGATTCTTCTTCTGCATTAATGTTTTTTTCTTTTGGAAAGAAATCTTTTCTTTTATGGAAAAAAATCTTTATATTTCACAATTTACATGCTATCCGTTCCTGTTTTGAGTCCTTTCAAATGTAATTGTAAAATCTTTACTGGCAAGACCCGGGTTGATTTCGAAGCCCTGAGTTAATTCAAATTAAAAAAAGAAGTTCAATTAACTTGATAATAAATTTAAATTGGCCTGCTGATCTTGTCAAAATCTATTTTTAATCCATTGATTTTTTTCTTGAGTTTATTTTTATAAATAATATCATTTTAATTAAAAAAATTAAAATTGACCCTGATTTTGTCCTTGATCTAGATCAGGTTTTATAATTATGCTTTGACAAGTTATAAATTAAAAGATAAAAAAGAGAAGTTCTAGAAATATGTAATAGTAGGAGTTAACGCATGAAGTTAGGGATTTGCAGCTTCTCAGGAAATACAGACCTGCCTCAATTGCAGTTACTCTATTTAACCCTGTCTTGCATGTCAAGTAATTCATTCTCTCGCAGTTTAAAATTCATGTTTCCAATTTTATTCCACAACTTTCTCCCTATATAAACTTCTCTAGCTTCTGCCCTAAGGTTTGCTTCTATTTTTCAAGGGTGAAAGAGAGGGTGGGGTTTTACAATGAGAGGGTCTGCATTCTTCCAGAGAGCCTTCAGAACTTTTCAAG